TTTAGCCTAATACAAGTATCCCAAGTATAAGTGACCTGTCCCAGATTATTAAACTAAGCACAATTTTTGTTTTTGGCATGAAGAACACTAAAAGCTGTGCCATGTCTCCTCTGAGTATGACAACTCCATTCTTTCTTCTGGAGTAGTTAGAAAACATCTTAAGCATTATAGAAAGGTATAATTTGTTGATCTAATGTGTAAAACAGATGACAGAAGTCACAGAAGTCAATATGGCAATAGAAATTCCTGATTACCTGAAATAACCCTAAATACAAACCATCAACTACTAACCCCACTGTGAATTATATTGCTAATGATAAATACCAGATTAGTGACTGCAGAATACACACAAATGAAACTGGGTTCAGAGTGTGGAACCATATTTTTTATATTATTATAAAATGTACACAGACACCTGAACATCCAGAAGGCTACATCAAAAACGGGTGAATGCTGTGAGATTCTCACCATTAGTTGCACCGTATCCCCAGTCATGAGACATGGCTGCTCCTATTGTACTTTATCCTGACAATAAAAAGAATTATTAATCACAGTTCGACCGATGGTGGACTGTGGTGATCTGGTCCAGACAGAAACTGACAGAAACCCAATGAAATTCTGCTGCTGGCCTTTATATAGGCTCTCTTGAGTCCTCACAGCGGTGGGCTTGGCCTGTCGGATCTTCAGCTGTATCAGGAGAGCAGTGCAACCAGGGGCATCAGCTGTACAGTGAAACATCCGGGGCTGAGCCCAGAGCCTGGAGTTGTGGTGGGGGGTTGCAGATTTCATTATTTTGGCCCTAGTTGTTTTGTTATTGCATTAATAAACTTATTTATACACTAAATAAGCCTTGTTTCAACATTTCAAGCGTTTCCTTTATTCTGACCAAGTCTGTGGTTGAAAGACTAAACATCTTAACCATTGTTGCAAATTTGCCCTTATTTAAAAAGCATTTTTCTGCATTCTGACCAACTCTGTCATCAAGAAAGTCAACATCCTAGCCATTGTTGCAAATTCAGCCTTATTTCACCATTTTAAGCGATTTCGTCCATTTTGACAAACTCTGTGATTGAAAGAGACAACATTTTAACCATATTTGCAAATTTAGCCTTATTTCACCATTTCAAGTGTTTTCCTCTATTTTTAAACAACTTTGGTATTAAGGAACTCGACATCTTTACCATATTTGCAAATTGAGCCTTATATCAAAATTTAAAGCATTTTTCTGCATACTGACCAACTCTGTAATTGAAAGACTAATTGTTCCAAATTTAGCATTATCTCACCATTTTAAGAGTTTTTCTGCATTCGGAGCAACTCTGTCATTAAGAAACTCAACATCTTATCCACTGTTGCACATTTAACCTTATTTCACGATTTCAAGCCTTTTCCTTCATTCTCACCAACTCTGTGATGGAGAAACTCAACAGCTTAACCATTGTTGCAAATTTAAAGCTACCTCGGGGCACCACCCTTCAAAGGAAGGGAAAATACAGCCAATTTATTGATTAAGTCTCTTGAAATTACTGACTACAAATTTGGAGTTGAAGGATATGGAGTGGTTGACAGTGGAGAAGTTGGCAAAATCCACACAACATTAGCATCGTTAGGCACCGAGCTAGGTGGCAGCCTATTACAGCAGCTCCCGTTGTTTTTTCTTGACTTTACGTCTTTTTGTCACTTTTGTCACTTTGTTCTTTTAATTTTTCTCGGTAATTGTTCTGGGGACTTAGTTGCAATGGCTACGTGCTGTTTCAAACCTTTTTTCCTAGATTTCTGCTACTTTCCACACTCTTTGTTTCGATGAGCCACGCAGAAAGGAGTGAGAGCATTGTTTACTCACGCAACCAGCTGATCATAAACCTGTGTTGCTGCCCGGCGAGAATCCTGAAATTCCTAAGGAGCTACAGAGGAGATGCTGGGGATGCAGAACTGTTCCTGTGGTCATCATGGGAAATGTGAGATCCTTGGGGAATAAGATGGACGAGCTCAGCACGCTGATTAAGACCCAGAGGGAATACCGTTGTTGTGTTTCACTGAGACATGGCTGCACTCAGATTTCCTGGACTACAGCGTGGAGTTACTCGGCTTCACTACTGTTCGGGCGGAGGAGGGATTGCACTATATGTGAGTGCTCTGTGAGCCATATGGGGAGGACATCAACAGCATGTCGGACTGCATAACAGAATACATAAAATTCTGTGAACAAACCACCTTGCCGGCCAAGACTGTACGCTGCTTTCCGAATAACAAGCCCTGGATCACCACTTCTCAACAAGAAGAAGAAAGCCTTCAGGTCTGGGGACAGACAAGAACAGAAGGTCATACAACACGACCTGAGGGGAAAGCTGAGGGAGTGCAAAGACTCTTACAGGAGGAAACTGGAGGCCAAACTACAGCAGAACAATGTGAGGGATGTGTGGTTTGGAATGAGGGAAATAACTGGGTTCAAGGCGAAAAGCAGACAGCCAGGAGGTGTCCTGGAGAGGGCAATGAACTAAATTTGTTCTTCAACAGGTTCAGTACTCAGCCCTCATCTGTCCTCCCCACCACACTCCCAGACACTCGCCCTTCCTCTTCACACTGTACACCTCGGTTCTCAGTACAACTCCGAGGCATGCCACTTACAGAAGTTCTCTGATGACTCTGCGGTGGTTGGGTGTATAAGTGATGGAAGGGAGGGTGAGTACAGAGCGCTGCTGAATGGTTTTGTAGAGTGGGCAGGTAAAAATCATCTGCTTCTGAATCAGAATAGGAATCAGAAATACTTCCCAGGAGGGAAATTCCAAAAGTCACATAGCTCCTGAGCAAGCGATGAAAAGGCAGGTAAAGCAAATTAAATTAAATTAAACAAGAAGACAAAAGTCAAAAGTAAAAGATGTGCATAAGTAGAAATAATTCTGCAAAATAGATCAACATGATATGTAAGTTAAGTATAGACAGTATACATGTTTAAGCTTATTTACAAGTTGTCATTATACCGTTTGAAAGCCACAGGCAGGAATGATGTCCTGTGTCGTTCTGTCAAGCAGGGTGGGTGGATGAATCTGTCACTGAATGAGCTGCAGAAGCTAATCAAGACATTATGGAGAGGGTGTGAAGGAAAGTCCCATATTGTCCTTACTTACAAAATTCTCCTCTCCATCACCACTGTGACACTGTCCAGTCCCCCCCCCCCCCCCCCCCTGGCTTTCTTGATTAACTTGTTGAGTCTGTTTATATCCTTCTTCTTCAAGCTGCTGCCCCAGCTGCCAGCAGCATACATGATAGTACTGGACACAACAGACTCATAAAACATCTGCAGCATCGTTCTGTCTATGTTGAAGGACCTGAGACCATGTCCACATTTTTTGACCAGTCCAGTTTATTGTCTAAGTACAACCCCAAGTACTTGTAGATCTCCACCATGTCCACACTGGCCCCTTGGATGGTAACAGGGGTCACCGGCCCCTTCGACCTCCTGAAGTCCACCACCAGTTCCTTTGTCTTTGACACATTGAGCTGTAGGTGGTTTTTACAGCTCCATGTGACAAAGTTGTCCACCACAGTCCGGCACTCACTCTTATCATCATAAGTGATACATCCAACTACTGCAGAGTCATCAGAAAACTTCTGAAGGTGGCGGGTCTCTGTGCAGTAGCTGAAATCCTTGGTGTAGAGATTGAATAGAAGGGGAGAGAGGACAGTCCCCTGAAGAGTCCCTATGTTGCTGACCACTCTGTCTGACATGCAGCACTGTAAACGTACATACTGCGGTCTGCCAGTCAGGTAATCCACAATCCAGGACACCAGTGGGGCATCCACCTGCATCGGTGACAGCTTCTCACCCAGCAGCATCGGCCTGCTGGTGTTGAACGCACTGGAGAAGTCAAAGAACATGACCCTCACAGTGCTTGCCAGTTTATCCAGGTGGGCGTAGACTTGGTCCTCCACTCCTAGACGGTGCTAGTAGGCGAACTGAAGGCGATCTAGTAATGGTTGGACCACGGGCCGGAGCTGCTGTGGACGAGCCTCTCGAGGGTCTTCATGACTTGTGACGTCAATGCCACGATGTCTGTAGTCCTCAGGGTCGCTGGAACGCGGCTTCTTCGGAACAGAGACAAGGCAAGACGTTTTCCACAGCACTGAAACCCTCTGGAGACTCAGGCTGATATGAAAGATGTGCTGAAGAACTCCACACAGCTGAGAGACACAGGTTTTCAGGACCCTGGGGCTCATGTCATCTGGGCCTGCTGATTTTCCTGTGTGGAGTTTCTTCAGTTGTCTTCTCACCTGCTCATCGATGAAGGTGGGGGGGGGGGGGGGGGTGTTGGTGCATCCCTGGAAAATGCACTCAGACAGGGAGTCTGCAGAGGAGGTGAGAGTGAGGCCGTCTGGTGGGGGGAAGCAAGAGAGGAGAGGGAGGGGAGAGAGAGTGGAGTGAGCTGTTGCTGCCATCCTGCAGAAGAGTCAGTTGGGTGATGGGTCATGCCATCAAATCTATTAAAGAACATATTGAATTCATTCGCCCTGTCCACGCCACCATCGACTCCTCCTGCTTGGCCTGTAAACAGTGAAGGTGTTTACAGGTGTTGTTCTGTTGGAACCTCCACTCCAACTTCCTCCTGTACTTCTCCTTTGCCTCTTTAATCTCCGATCTCAGCTTCCACTCACTATACTTCCTCTGATTTGGGGCCATTGCAGCCAGCTCGTCCATCTTATTCCCCAGCTATCTCACATTTCCCATGACGACAGAGGGGAAATAAGTGTCCGTTGTTTCACAGCCTCCCTTTTCCTCTACAGATTTTTACTTCCTCTGCATTCCCTGTGTGTCCGTCTCAACATTTCAGCCGGAAAATTGTTGTCTGTGGACGCCGAAGGCGCTGGCTTCAGGTCGATCAGCTTATCCCTGTTGTAAACAATGCAGAAAGCATGGAGTTGCTGCGAACAAAAACACCAAAACTCCTGCAAACTACATGTTGCTTCGATGTAAGTGATCCAACACTTAAAGAGAGAAATTTTAAAAGAAAGTTAAGTATAAGAAAAGTATAGAAAATGTAGAAGTGTATCAGGAGCGCTTGTAACAGGCAGCACACGACTTTGTGCATGCGTACTTTCATCTCCATGTGGCCAAGACCAGGGAGAAGGTGGTCGACTTCAGGAGGAAGAGGACGGTTTCACAGCCACTGTGTATTCTGGGAGAAGATGTTGTTACCAAAGTTATTATAGTTTTGAAATTTTCATTAGTTTTTATTTTTATTTAGTTTTTCAGTTAGCTTTTTTATTTCAGTTTAGTTTTAGTTAGTTCAACAAGTGATTTTGTAGTTTTAGTTTAGTTTTTATTTTGAGGAATCGACTAGTTTAGTTTTTATTTAGTTTTTCCAGGTATTAAGAGAAAGCTTTGACTTGTAGAAGCTGAAAAAGGATGAAACAATGTGTGACACCAAATATGGTTTATCAAGTCCTTTCATTTCATTCTTTAACCATCACCTGCAGGACAGGCAGTGATCCAGGGGGAAAACGAAGCTGAATTTATCTGCAATTCAGTTTAGTTTTAGTTAGTTTTGCATTGTTCATTGTAGTTTTTATTTAGTTTTGGTTTTTTTGTAATTGTCGTTTTTATTCCAGTTCACTAAATTATTTTTTCATTGCTAGTTTTAGTTTTAGTCTTAGTTTTCGTTAACTATAATTACCCTGGTTGTGACAGTTGAGGATTAGAAATACCTGGGCATCCACATCGACAACGGACTGAAGTGGAAAACCAACACCGGTGCTGTCGACAAGAAAGGAATGAACAGACTCTATTTCCTGAGGAAGCTCAGATCTTTCAACGTGTGCAGCAAGATGTTGGAAATATTCTATCAGTCTAGTAATTACTGCTGCAATAACTGTCAATGTATTTATTTATTTTGCTCATATTATATTCCTACTCATTTTACTACACATAGTCATAGTTATTATTTTACTCATGTCAAACAAATACTGCAATTTTGCACCCTGTCTCTTTGTGTTCTTACTCTTCGTGAATGTTGACCCGCTGCTGTGAAAATTTAGTGACATCTAGAGGTGAAGTTGAATGTTGCAGCTGAATACTCCACATCTCACCTCACCCTCTCCTTCCAAACATGAAAGAGAACCTGTGGTGAACTTCAGTTGTCACGAAAACACAAAAGGTTTTAGTTTGTGACACAAAAAAATATGGTGGCCTCCACAGGGAGGACCCCCCTCCATGTAAATATAAAGTTTTTAAATATAAAGAGCCCATTCTATGTTAAGGAAAACAACAATTCATGCCATTTAGATAAAACCCCCCAGTGAAAACATCACTAGGATTATTTTATATTTAATTTCTGCCAAAAATACAATTAATACAATACATTTTCAATAGTGACTAACTTACGCAAGCCTATAGCCCCCCCTCTCTGTCGGTCTGTTTAGACACAACTGACAAATGTGTGGA